GATCGCATCCCTACATTAGCAGAGGCCGCTCGGTCTGAGCTGCCAATGAACTCGTACTCGGGGTATTGCTTCCTGGCGTCCTGAAAGACAGAGGGATCATCAGTAGCCACATAAACGCGGCGTTTAGGCAGTTCACTTTTGACCACAGGCGCATGAACGTCCCCTGTCCAGTGGTTGTCAGCATTTGCAATTTGACGCTCTAGTTCCTTCTGCTGGAAGAAACGCTCAGCATGCACCATGTACTCCGAAAGTGCGTGAAACGCAGCCTCTGTGCCGACTTTGTCCGTGCGTCTTACGTGAATTCCAACAATAGGCTGTCGGTAGCCTGCAACTGGGGCCTCCGTTCGAAGACTCTTAAGGTTAGCCTCCACAGACTTCTTGAACTCACCTTCTTTGAGACGAAACAGATAGCGCAGAAGCTGCCCTGCATACCACGGGAAGGGCGCTCCGTGAAGTGGTGCAAGTGCCTTTGCCAGGTCCCTTGGTACAGCCTGTGGCACCAGGTTGGAACTGATCATGTCAATAATTGGGCAGTGCAAGATTTGGCTGTCTCTGTTACCCGATGTAAATGATTCGCCTTTGGTCTGCGGTGGAATGCAGCCAGTGGCCGGGAGGAAGTTTGTATGCTTGACGTCTTCATCTATGTAGAGAGTACGGTTCAGAGTTAAAGCAATGTGTAAACAATAGAGCAAGTGGTGCGCGCGACAGCCAAAACCACAGGGTTTATCATTCCTGGTGACTAGATAGCGGGCCCTCCGGCAATCGGGGGGGTTTTGCAGTCGGAAGATTTTCTGTTGAACACTCTGCGACAGAGCATCCAGTTGGGCTATAAGTTCTTCCGCCTGTCCATTCACCCGACTTGCGCCTGTGAGTTTAGTCTCTAGAAGAAGAGACATTCTGGCAAACCAGTCGAGCAGCTCCTCTTGTGAGAGCTTTTGACTGGGTGACACACCTGAAGACGATAATTGAGACTTGGCCAGCCGCCGAATCTCTCGAGTTACATGCCTTGCCTGTCTGTAGAGTATATACTTGCTATCTGTGCGAGCGAGGAGGTCATCCGGTAGAATTTTGTTTCCCGTTTCTTCTGGCTTTATACGAACAACTTCTGGCCTTATGCGAACAGCATCTGGCTGTAGTTGAAGTTGTACACTATCTGTAGATTGACGACTGGACCGACTGAACAATGCGCTTATTATTAGCAGGAACCATAGCGCGAATAGCAAAATCCACAGTTTTCTCCAGACACTCATCGCCTTGTCAATGTCCACACAAAAGTCTATCTGAAGGGCCTTATTGACCGGGCTTTTTGAATGCCGAGGCAATTACCCAATTAGCAGTGAGTCTTATGTGGCATTTGCTGCATACTCAGTTGAACACGAAGAAGTGAAAGCGGTGTTCGTGAGGCCACGTTTACACGTGGCAGATAAAGGTTTCTGCGAATGGAAATTACCGTCTGGTGCTAGTAGGTGTTGTTGTGAGCTCATTGGTTGTTGAATCTAGCACGTTAAGACGCGTTTTCTGCATTTACCATAGTGCTGAGTATTGTGTTTAGAGGCCAACACACGAAAGCACACGGAGACGGTCTGCTAATAGATTGTGAGCCACTGTGAAGACATTGTCAGAATTAACATTTCCAAGGTGCATATGTTCCAAATGCCCTGGCACGTGGCTCCAAAGAGGCAACATAGGTCCTCAGGAGTATATCGATTTTCCTATGACCTGACACGTAAATGCTAGGTTATTACGTACTGCAATTCCTTTATGTAAGACGAATTAATACAATGAAAGTGCGCTCAGAACATGCTTGCTTATTTGAAGATAGGCATCCCGAGAAATATAATTTGATAGAAGAAATTCTTTGGGAAACAGGAACAAACTTTATTTGTAAATTTTCGACACTAGCACGCTAGGT